TTCGCTGTATCGTTCCAGTTTCAACGGCTTTGTCCTGTGCTCCTTTTTTTTTTTTTTTTTTTTTACAAGAAGCACACACACACACATATATATACACACAAAAAGAACATTCTCTTTTATTCAAAAAAACACCTACTCTTTATATAACTGCCACTTGCATGTTACAGGGGGCGAAGGCAAGGGCGGAGAAGTCCGAAAGTGCACAGGCTTGGGCACAAGTTGAAACGACACTTGCAACAGATGTGTCTCACCCTACTTCTAAACCTCACCAATAACGCCTCCTTTATCAATCAACCATATACAAACTACGGGCTGCGCACCCCTGCCCTCACGGTAAGTCAATGACAAACGGATGGGTTCCCTTGCACTATATTCATGGGAGGATATATATATTCAGTTGTCGGGCAGTCATTGATGCTTTAACCACAACCGGGGTTAAGGAGGATTATCACTTACAGTGTGATCAGTTAAGGGATTCTGCAGACTGTTGAGGGTTCAGCCTCCTGATGAGTTGGTGAAACTCCGACGAAACAGTTTGTCACAGCCCCTCGTTTGTTGTCCTCTTCTCCTCTTCTCCCTCTCAGCCTACGGTTTACCAGGTAGCTCTGTTTGACGATATAGCTGCTCGGTGAACCGTAGGCAGAGAGGGAGAAGCGGGCAACAAACGAGAGGCTGTGACAAATAGATAGATAGATAGATAGATAGATAGATAGATAGATAGATTGGTAGGTATATATGCATACATATATATACATGTATATATCACCTTCCATTAAGCCAGTCCATCTCGTCTCGTGTCTTTAATAATTTTGCAAAGTAAGGTTTTTAACAGCTTGTCAAAATGATCAATTTAACAATTGAGTATACATATTTAATGAACGCTCGAGGCAGTCAGCCAGGAATTCTGATTGTGGCACTGCCTACGTAGCCTACGGCCTTCCTGCAAACACAATGCGCCCTCATTTTGGCTGCACCGGAACGGAAAGATGGCTTGTATACATTTGCTATCACGGTTGCGTTGTGTTTGGGGGAAGACAGCAGAGTATGTGCCCGTCCCTGTCTAGATTCTATACGTGACTGAGTGGCATATGGTGACCCGCAGGCAGGGATGCGTTGGGGAGTACAGGCAATGGGGAGTGGGAGGGGAGGGGGGGGGGGGGGGGGGGGGGGGGGGGGGGGGGGGGGGGGGGGGGGGGGGGGGGGGGTGTAGAGAAGTGGGCCTCAAAGGCGTCAATTTGACAGAGACGATGAACTGGCGCTCAGATTCTTTGTCAATGAGTAGTAACACCAGCTGAGGATTGGGAGTTCTCTCTCTCTCTCTCTCTCTCTCTCTCTCTCTCTCTCTACTCATCCTAGAGGCAATCACTGATGGCTATATACACGACCGGGGAGTGGCTGACCTTCCCTCTCTGGTCCTCGTTGCCTCTCCATTTGGGGCACTACCAATGACTTAGCAATTGTGAAATTAAAATCTTTTGGTTAAAATATTTCAAAGCCTTTGTGTGTGTGTGTGTGTGTGTGTGTGTGTGTGTGTGTAAGTGTGTGTGTGTGTTGTGAGTGGGCTTCCCGGAACTACATATAATCCAATAGCTAGTTGGCTACCGTCTTTTCCCTTAGACAACAAAAACAAAGCACTCTGGTCATGAATGTATACAAGCCATCTTTCTAGTCTGGTACAGTCATGCTGGGGGTGCATTGTATTCGGAGGAAGACGATAGTCCGTCCATAGATGGCTATAAGCAGTAGGAAAAGGAGAGGGGTAGAACATCGTAATAATGTCGAGGACAGAACGACATATCCTCAAATGTATACAAGCTATTGTTCCGGTCCGTTACATTCTGACATGCCAGAGTCCTTCACGGCATCAGCATGAGTTGATGGGTTGTGTAGCATCCGTGTTAAGGGTCCAGATCCCTGTTCAGCAGCTAATACCCCTTCTGCCCCCCCCCGCCCTCCCCTCCTCTCCCCCCCCAAGACCTGCATTCATTAAAGTTGAAAATTGGGGCAACTTTCAGTCTTGATACAGCCATAATGACCCAATTATGTTCTAATTGGGGGAAGACGGTAACAGGTCAACATTTCTGTGTAGAGATCGAGATCCCTGCTGAATAGTTATCGCGGAACAGGTCGCGGAACAGGTCGCTAGCCCCTGAGAATGAGGTGACAGTGGTGAGTTTTCAAATTGACGGTTCATCAAGGAAACTGCGAAGGCACCAATGGCTTCTAAACCTTTGCGCAGTGTTCAAGTGGCTATCCAATCCCTGACTGGTATCATCATCATCACGTCACATGAATGTGTTTCTGTGCCTGTGTGTGTGTGTGCATGTGTGTGCGTGTGTGCGTGTGTGTGTGTGTGTGTGTGTGAGAGAGAGAGAGAGAGAGACACACACACACACACACACACACACACAGAAACACAGAGAGAGAGAGAGAGAGAGAGAGAGAGAGAGAGAGAGAGAGAGAGAGAGAGAGAGAGAGAGAGAGCTGCGAATGAATTTGACAATGTGTGTAATTTCAGCAATATATAGTATCTGAGTGATGAAAATATGCATTTTGTTTGATGGCTTATTTGTGGGCTTCTCAACAGGCCATGACCATGGAGAAGCTGGAGTTTCTGACTCCAGCCGTGTTCACAATTGGCCCGCACGACGAGCCAGAGGTAACGTCTGAAGACTCTCAACTGAGCCTTTTTTCTTTGAGCATTAACTACCTTGCCTACTTCTGTGTGCACAGCTTTCCAAATAGATGATCGCCTTCCTGAGACACGGGGGTTTCTTCATTGTTTTTGGTAATAAACTAAGAAAAATTAAGAATGATATTAAATAAATTAAATAGATTGATGCTTTGCTTGTCCTTTATCTCGGAGCCTTAGGTACCTTGGCTCACTTTTGCGCACACCACAATCTTCACATGAATGATCACTGTCGTCCCCAGACACTGTGTTTCTTGTTTGTTTTCTTGATTTTTTCCCCTTCCATTAATTATTAGAAGATTAAATTAATTAAGATTAACTTGAAAGTTTAAACAAACCAAGATTAATTTTTAATTGAGATTTTAATAATCATTTTATACATTTAGATGCTTTGACAAAGTTTGCATGTTTCTTCCTTTTTTGGAAAGTAGAAGGTTATGCTTCTTTCACAACCACCTCGAAGGAGTCCGCATATCTATTATAATTTATCAAACCTTTTTTTTTTTTTCGCCTTCTTTATTATCATACGTATTCACAGCTTGAAGGTCGAAGAATAAGGGGCAAAAAAAAAAACGCAGTCCGTATGTCTATCATAATCAAACCTATTCAGAACGTGAATGTTGAAAGGTTGACACTCCGCTAAAGGAAATGATTTTCGCCTTTCCTGTTTGTTGTTTCCAAATGTTCACCTTTCCACACTTGTCCTCCTGTATCTAGACTGAAATTTGCCCCAAATACGTATCCGCCATGGGACCAGTTTGGGCTGCATTTGAACAATTTACACCTCAGTCCATTTCTTCTTCTTCTTCGTTTTTTCTTGTTTTTTTTTTAAAATATATATAGTCGACTTCGGCTGCCAAATGTTTCTGTCAGTGGTATTGAGCTCCACTGGAATCCCTCTGCTGCTGATATCGTCCAAAAGACACCCTGGTGCATTCAGCAAGCCAGGTGCATTCAGAAATTGAATGCACCTGACTTGTTAATGAAAGACCATTCGGACACATTCTCTCCATTTCATGCTGCTTGGCAAAAACTGGTTTCGTGCAGTGGATCTCGGCATTTGTCGCACATTCTATCCTTCTGAACAACATGACTCGCAGTCCTTTCCCCACCCTTCCTCCAACCTGTATCCCACTCTCATTCTCTCCCCCTCTCTCTATTTGTTGATCTATCTTTTAAGTTTTAAACTATTGATATCTATAGTTCTGATGTTGTCTAATCCAATGTCCTTTCTCCATATCTCTAACCTGTATCCGACTCTCATTCTGCCTATCGTTTTAGCTATCTATCTATCCTTTTTTTTATCTATCTATCCTTTTTTTAGATGTCTATCTATCCTTTTTTTAATCCTTTTTTTTAGCTATTTATCTATCCTTTTAGCTGTCTATCTGTTCTTCTCTTCTCTAATCGAATCTAGTCTAATCTAATCTATAAGCTAGCCTAAGCTAATGTTATCAATTCCAATCTAACTTTGTCAATCTGTCCATCTTTCTAGCTATACTCTCTGTTCTACTCTTCTCTAATCGAATCCAGTCTAATCTAATCTAATCTAATCTACTCAATTCTAATCTAATCTAATCTAATCTAATCTAATCTAATCTAATCTAATCTAATCTAATCTCATCTGACCTAATGCAATCTACTGATCTAATGATTCTAATCTAATCTAATCTCTTTTTTTCCCTCTTTAAAAAAAAAAAAAAACACATACACACTCGTCGGGGTGCCCCTTCTATTCTGGGGGGTGCCATTCCGATTGCTCATCACCAGCAAGCAAAATCAATGAAATTTATGAAAATCCACTTAGGCAGATTCCAGGGAGAGCCTCCCGACATCTGGGAGACTCCCAATGGTACCCAGTCTTTGCTGATTCCCTCCCCTCTTACTTCTCCTAATCTTCATCTTCATCTTCATCTTCATCTTCATCTTAATCTGATTCTGATCCTAATCCTAATCCTAATCGTATCGTATCGTATTGTATCGTATCGTATCGTATCGTATCGTTTCGTTTCGTTTCGTATCGTATGGTATCGTATGGTATCGTATGGTATCGTATCGTATCGTATCGTATCGTATCGTATCGTATCGTATTCATTCTAATCCATTGTACTTATGTCTTTCTTTCTCTTTCTGCCACCCCTTGCTCGTTGTGATGTCGATGATGATGGTCTCTGAGGGAACTACAGTACTCGTAGGAGCGGGTCTACGACTGACTTTACTGACAGACATGTTCTGCGTGCGCATTCTTATGTGCAGGCTCTGAAGCGGTATTCAAAGCTTTTGGCTTTGCAAGATCGAGGAGGTGCGGACAACCATGTGTCGGAGTTGGTGAAGGGTGTGATTGAGGGAGAGACTCGCGTCCTTGCTGCGAGCATGACGATGGAGGAGATCTTCAATCAGAGAAAGCTTTTCAAGGAGACCGTCACTCGCAATATCCAATTGGAGCTGGATCAGTTCGGCTTGTTCATATACAATGCCAATATCAAGCAGCTGCAGGTGAGCATGCGCTGAACTGAACTGTGCTTGGCTGCTTGGCATAGGATGCCAGGTTTTTGTACCCTTTTTGTACGAACTTACTACGAAGTAATAGGTTTGGGTGGGTGGGTGGGTGGGTG